TCACTAATGGCTGTAATCGATAAAAAATGATTGTGCTGCCTCTCTTGATTAGTATCCATGTCACATACTGAGTATTGTATACGTATCAGAATTTGCGACATAGAATTTAGTAGCTTTTGTGGAAATAGTTCCATTCAACATATCAGAAAAACCTTCGATCTGATCCATTTGCGAACACATTGATACAAACGCATGATGAAGAACACTCGCTTATGTCATCATTAGCAGAATGCCAATATGTTGATTGTTGTTCTAAATTCTTATCACATATTTTTTTTCTACACATTCATCGTTCTCTTTGTATTATAATGCTGATTGTGTGTACACAGTTTATGTAAATAAAGACAATGAGTTTCATCAATATATATTGTAGAATAACATTGAATGAATAATGCAAAACGTACTATTGTCAGCATTACTCACTTCAACTAGAATTGCATTATGATTCTCAATTTTTGTTTAGTTCTCCAGCAGATGTTTTGCTTGTTTTTGTTAGTCGAATATAAACTCTGATCCCAAAGTAATGTAGGTGGATCTATAAAAAATACAGAATGATTGTATCATAAAGATTCATACATATTGTTTCTAGGTTTATGTAGTTTTGAAATTCGTCTTGTACTCTGGTTAATAATCAGATGTAGAAAATATTTCTAATTGCATTGTAGCAAGTTTCAGATAGTATTGAGTTCGAACGGATATCACAAATCACATAGGTCATTTGTTCTAATCTATGCGTAGCTGACAGCATTGCTGGCATACTCTGTATCAATGATATTGAAGTGAACAAAGAATATTTTCTCATATTCTTTGGATTGCTCATCATTGACGCATGTTCAGTTCAATAACGACATGATCATGCAAGCTTATCTTTCGTGAAATTACGTGCACATTTTCACTTTGTCCAAAGACGGTTTGCTTATGTCTGTGATGGAGAAACAAATGGTTGTTAACACAAAAGTTTTCTAAGAAGACTATTCCACTACGAATATTACTTCAGTGATTTCTGAAGAATTCATTCTTGTGAAAACTGACTAACTACTAATGATTAAAAAGCGTAGATTTTTCGAATGTGATACATACGATGAACACTATGTTCCCTCTTCAGCTATTGTGCTTTGTCACCAATAATAAAAGACGTTTTGCTTGAAACTCTATGATTAGTATCAGATAGTTGCATTGATCTCAATCAAACTACCACGAATTATGTCCAATATTATCAAACAAAATTTACTGTCAAAAGTAAAGTTGAGTGCTTCGAAAACATTTTCCAACAAATATTTGTAGGTATGTTATCAACATGAGTCTATCGCAAGGGTTTTGTAAATAAAACGTGTTTAGCAAAAGCCTATTCCTCACGATCTACCAAGTAGTAAGAAAACATTGATCATCCGAATAATCTGTGAGTTACTCAACGTCAAAATCCATGAGTTATTTGCAAATGCTTGTGAAGATTAAGTATTAAAAAAAAGCATAACTGAAAGTATAAGTTATATTAAATATGTTATTAGCATTTTTTTAAATTTGAAAAAAGAAATTTAGACGTTAGATTGTTTTCAATTTGAATAAATTGAATTTAACAGATTTTGAACTTTTCGAGTTTATGTTCGCAAATGAGAAGACATAGTGTTATGGGCTTTACTAAATCAGGATAATAGCAAGAGCTAATGGAATATTGTCTCAATTGTTCGAATTTCAGATTTTCAAAGAGTAGATTGTTTAGTCATCAAAATTTTCTTCTAACATCCTAATACAACGGTTTGACGCTCATTTTCGTCAGAACCTATTACAGTTTTGTAGAATTCTTTCTGGCTGTCCCCCTAAGAACTATGCTTTCTCAATTACACATAATATTCACATATCTCTATTTTTTTCTATATACAGAGCAGATAGTATCAGCATCGATCTACTCAGCGTCTCAAATATAGAAGGTATCACATTCCAAAGATGCACTTGAAATCCCATCAAATTTACCCAGTTTCGCATGCATACAAACCTTCTTATGATCTTGCTAAGATCCTATCAACATATTAAATCTTTGAGGTTCTCCATAAACATAAGAATTATTCTTGACATTTGTTGTTCAACGATTCAACATCCTACCAAGAAGATGCGGATAGAATCTTTTCAGGATTTTTTCAATTCAGGGAGGTTCACATAGTTCATTATTTTATTGCTTAAATTCTTCGTCGATGTTCATATAAATGATCATCTTGCAAAAGAGATCCTGAATTCTCGCAATTACGAATAAAATCCACAGATTCCTAGATTTTTTTTTTCGAAAGCTTGCATTGCATAAGCATTGCTCTTTCTCGGAATACATCCTTACAGCAATCCCCAAGAGCAGTCATCCTATTCCGCGATGTTGCACATTGCGGAATCAGTTCCGCCCCAGGAATCAATTCCAACGATTCCGGAGTCACATCCACGTTGCACGACATTCAATTCCGGAATCCATTCAAACAGTTTCTAGATATTCCGGAATCGATGTCAGAAAATACAAGCAATTCCTCACAGCGCCGTCTAATTCCGGAATCGAATGAAACCGGAATCCGTAGGAATTAATAGAAATTCCGGAATTGCTATACCTAGTATTATTCTATCATCTCTTATGAATCTAATGATGATCCAATTCCGGAAAGGAATTCCGGAATTGGGCGGAATTCCTGGGAATTCCGTCCAATTCCGTGCGATTCCGTCTCGACTCAATTCCCGGAATTCCGTACCGGAATTACTTACTTCAGCAAGAGGATAATCTTCAGTCAGAACGCCATGCGCGAGGGTGAGGGCAAAAACTGATTCCGCTACGGAATTCCGGGAATTGCGTGGAGATTGTATCCCCACCAACTCCGGAATTGGAATCAGTTCCCGAAATTCCGGAATCGGACGGAATTCCTAGCAATTCCGTCCAATTTCGTGCGATTCCGTCTCGACTCAATTCGCGGAATTCCGTGCCGGAATTACTTACTTATGCGAGAGGATAATCTTCTGTCACAACACCATGCGTGAGGGTGAGGGCGAACAATAATTCCGCTGCGGAATTCCGGGAATTGAGTCGAGGCGGAATTACACGGAATCGGAGGGAATTGCATGGAATTCCAGGGAATTTCGTCCGATTCCGGGAATTGAGTGGAGGTTGTATCCCAACCAACTCCGGAATTGGAATCAATTCCAGGAATTCCGGAATCGGACGAAATTCCTGGGAATTCCGTCCAATTCCGTGCGATTCCGTCTCGACTCAATTCCCGGAATTCCGTACCGCAATTACTTATGCGAGAGGATAATCCTCAGTCACATCACCATGCGTGAGGGTGAGGGAGAAAAGTAATTCGGCTACGGAATTCCGGGAATTGAGTCGAGACGGAATTAGAAGGAATCGGAGGGAATTGCACGGGATTCTGAGCGATTTCGGTATTGCGAGAATCTGATGGAGCTCGGTCAGTGACGAGTCGATGTGTTATGTTGAATGATGATCGAGTTCCCGGAATTGGATGGAACTGGTTCCGGGGACGGAACTGATTCCGAATTGTTCAACATCGCGGAATAGGATGTGTTCTCAATGCGATATCCGGAATTCCGTTTGGGAATTGCATGCATAGACTAGAGGTGAGCTATGCTGTTAATGCAACGTGTAAATGATTCCGGAAGGAAGCGGAATTATATGGAATTGCATGCAATTCCGTCTAATTCCCTCCAATTCCTCCTTTTAGCGATTCCCGGAATTCCGTTTGGGAATTGCATGCATACACTAGAAGTGAGCGATGGTACTAATCCAACGAATAAATGATTCCGGAATCGAACGGAATTACGTGGAATTGCATGCAATTCCGTCTAATTCCGTCCAATACCTCCTTTAAGCGATTCCCAGAATTCCGTTGGGGAATTGCATGCATACAGTCGAAGTGAGCTATGGTATTAATGCAAGGAATAAATGATTCCGGAATCGAACGGAGTTACATGGAATTGCATGCAATTCCGTCGAATTCCGTCGAATTCCTCCTTTTAGCGATTCCCGGAATTCCGTTTATGAGTTGTATGCATACACTAGAAGTGAGCGATGGTATTAATGCAACGCATAAATGATTCCGGAATCGAACGGAATTACATGGAATTGCATGCAATTCCGTCTAATTCTGTCCAATACCTCCTTTAAGCGATTCCCGGAATTCCGTTTGGGAATTGCATGCATACACTAGAAGTGAGCTATGGTATTAATGCAAGGAATAAATGGTTCCGGAATCGAACGGAGTTACATGGAATTGCATGCAATTCCGTCGAATTCCTCCTTCAAGCGATTCCCGGAATTCCGTTTGGGAATTGCATGCATACACTAGAAGTGAGCTATGGTATTAATGCGACGAATAAATGATTCCGGAATCTAACGGCATTACATGGAATTGCATGCAATTCCGTCTAATTCCGTCCAATTCCTCCTTCAAGCGATTCCCGGAATTCCGTTTGGGAATTGGATGGATACACTAGAAGTGAGCTATGGTATTAATGCAACGTATATATAATTCCGGAATATAACGGAATTACATGGAATTTGAAGCAATTCGGGCTAATTCGCTGCGATTCCTGCTTGATGGAATTCTCGGAGTTTCGGAATTAGATGGTATTATTGGAAATGATTCGGGAATTGTTGGGAAATGGTTCATTTGATTCCGGAATCGGATTGAGGTCTGTGTGAGCGGAATTGCGGAATTGGATGGAATCGATTCCGGGGCGGAACTGATTCCAGGAATGTGCAACATCGCGGAATAGGATGTATTCTCTTTTTCTGATAGGAAACCAGGAAAAGATTTTTGAATTTCTCACTGCGAAAAGAACACTGTTGAACGTTTTACCTAATTCCGTTCAAAGAAGACGAATGTCTCCTTCATAGCTCTTTTCCTCTGCGTCAGAGAGAGGGAGATCTCTTCGATAACGACGATTTCTTTTGTTTTTCGTTCATTGTAGTAATCCCAAATATTCCAGTCGATGCCCGTTGGGCACAGAATGGAATGACTGTTGCTGGAGGTCATGGATGGGGCAGTGCCATCAATCAATTCACCGGGCCTTGTGGTCTTTTCGTTGATGGTGACCAAACAATGGTCATCGCTGACTTCAGGAATCATCGTATCATCCAATGGAAGATGGATGATACGAATGGACAAGTGGTAGCTGGTGACAATGGCGAAGGAAATCGATTGGATCAATTGGATGGACCAATCGATGTGTTGATCGACAAAGAGACGGATAGTCTCATTATTTGTGATTGGGACAATCAACGGGTCGTACGATGGTCTCGTCGTAGTGGTACCACTGAAGGAGAAATCCTCATCGACAAATTCAAGTGTTGGGGATTGGCCATGGATGATCAGAGATATCTCTACATCTCTGACTACGGCAAAGAAGAAGTAAGACGATATCAAATAGGAGACAACAATGGAATTATTGTGGCTGGTGGCAATGGCTACGGTACTGGTCTCAATCAACTCAACCATCCGACCTACATCTTTGTCGATCAACAACAGACTGTCTACGTGTCAGACAATTACAATCATCGTATAATGAAATGGAATAAAGGTGCAAAAGAAGGAATTGTTGTTGCTGGAGATCAAGGACGAGGGAATGCTCTGACACAATTGCTGTTTCCTGAAGGACTGTTCGTCGATACATTGGGTACCATCTATGTGGCAGACCGTGAGAATAATCGAGTGATGCGTTGGCCTAAAGAAGCGAAACAGGGCACTGTCATTGTGGGTGGAAATGGTGAAGGAGAAGAAGCAAATCAGTTCTACGGGCCTAATACTTTGTCCTTCGATCGACATGGTAATCTCTATGTCGCCGATCATCGGAATAACCGTATTCAACGATTTTCAATCGAATAGACTCAAAACGATGGATTATTTTTTTTCTTTCCTTTCTCTCAAATAAACCACGTTAAATTGATGAAATGAATGTCTATTCTATTCGTGCGCGCGACCAGGAACCATGCTGGTGAAGCCGTGGCGGGCATAACGCTCATGCACGTACGGGACAGACTCAAATCATTCATATCCGTCCCACTCGAAAGATATGTCAATGAGTCTGGGTACGTCCGGTCGTGTGCCACGAACACCAAGACGATTCCTGGCCGGGCTTTTAGGGACTACCCGGAAGTCCTTCATAGAAGACGTAACCCTAACCCTCAACGGACAGAACTCACCCTCGCCTTCCGCTAATACTCACTGTGCTGAGACTCACTATCTATTCTCATCTCAAGAAAAAAAAAGTTACTCACCACGTTTGATGATGTACGACGATGTTGTTGATAGTGACGACGCAATGATATTGAAGACTGAAAGGAAAAGAAAAAAAATTCAATTAATGTTTTATAATGCAAAAGAACCAGTTCACTTACCCCATTATTATCTTTTTCTTCCCTGTTCAGTGCCTAAAATTAAAAAAACCAATGCATAAAAATGATCATACGAGGACTTACCACCATCCATATGATTTTAAAAAGAACAAAAAAAAAATAGAAAAAATGAAAAATCATGCCTACATTTTTTTAATTGTATGGCTTGATATTGAATTGAATAATTTTGTATCGTGGAAGCATACAATGGGCTATTTAATTTCAGTCTGAATTTATCAAATAAAAATAATACTTGATTTCAAACTGAAACGTGAGTCTAGGAGTGAGGGGGGGGGGGGGGGGACTGAGGGTGTGGGTGTGGGTCTGGGACCTACACACACACCCACACCCACACCCATGGTGTGGGTGTTGGCGCGTGAGTGAGGGTGAGGCTGTCCTTGTGGTTTGGTGTACTATAGGCTTTAGTCCCCTGAAAAGGGACTAAGGGGGGACTAAGCTTTTTGTGGGCGGGACTAAGGGGGACTTTGCAGGACTAGGGGGGACTAAGGGTTTTTAGTGAGACTACGTAGTATCAAGCGAGAAAAGTTTGATTCGGAAGAAATTAGTGTGGTTTTTTTGATTTTAGAATTCAGTTTGAAATAAAAAAGCCCATAGACTCCGTGGAAGCCAATCTAAAATATAAAAAGAAACGATTATTATTTGATTCAAAAATTGAATGATTTCTTCGAAGAAAATCATTCAATTTTATACCCCTCAAAAATCATTTTTTTTTCTTGAGCGAGAAAATATTATTTTTTTTCTTGTCGAAAAGTAATTAAAAGTCGATTTCAATTAAACTTTCATCTAGACACATATATTGAGATAAATTCAATCACAACTATCTCAATGTATATGTGTGAATAAAGATTAATTGTTTTTCACACATTAATTGTATATGTAATCATTGATCAACAATGATAACATGAACAGTGACTTACGGGCGAGAGAAGAAATATTGCTCTCTTGCCTATTTCTTTTTTGGGTGTGGGTGTGGATGTGGGTATGAGTGTGTGTGGGTGGGTGTGGGTGTGGGGTGTGGATGGGTGTGGGTGTGGGTGGGTGTGGATGTTGGTAGCAGTTCAGTCATTCACTGACGGCTACAGCCACACCCGCACACACACCCACACACCCACACCCACACCCTGACTGAACTGCTACCAACATCCACACCCACGCACACCCCATACCCACACCCACACGCACACCCACACCCACCACACCCACATCCGCTCTACTTGATTTCTATAACCAAAAAATTGACCTACACCTACTTGAAGTAACCTACTTTGTTGAGACACTTTTTGCTCATAACTAATCTTTTGAAATGTACTGAAAACGAGCTGCATCAAATAGAAAGATGCGATGGAATGAATAGATTTACAAAGCTAATGAAACTGCTCTTTCCAACACGAGACTCTGATATCATTTGTAATTAAGAACTTTGAACTTATCTATTATTCTGTTTGCCGTTATATTTATCAGTTTGAAGAAAAGAACAGCAACATTTAACATGATAAAATCATATTTTATGAATATACATTAACTGAATTTTTTGAACATAAAGGATACGCAACACGAACATTAAAGTAAACTTATCAATCATTAAGAACAATTTTACTTTATAATCAAGTCAGAACATAAGAAAAGAAAGAAATAGAAACCGGCATTTAATTTAAGTAACATATAATTATCACTAAAATTGTACCAACTTTTTTTTATTTTGTTTTACATTTTAAAATAGCCAATGTGTCACCATGCTACAACTTTTCAGAAATTTTAAACTCAATAACTATCTTTTAAAAAGATTGTAAGAAAGGAAAGCATATTGCATATCAAACACATCAACATTAAAAAAGAAGTCTTGAAATCCATAGTCGACCACCTTTTTCGCAGATATGAGTGGTTTTTGTGCAAGATTTTGATCGTAAAACATCGGACAAAGCCACATGAAACCACGTGTATTATATTTTAAACATCGATCGAGATATAAAGGAGCATCACGAATATCATTAGTAAGTTTGTAACAAACAAACGTTTTCATAACAATGACATGAAAAAAACCAAGTGTCTAGAAATATTAAACAAAAACAACTGAAAAGTAATGTTATCAATATTATTAATACAAAAGAATTCAACTGTTCTTATAATGTATAAATTCCAGATACTGATAATTGATACAAAATCCTCATATTACAATTCTAAATAATTCTCTAATGAATCTTCAAAAAATATTTATACTTTATTACATCATTCGGCTATTCTTTAAAAGGAAAACTATTCGTTCTTAATTTACAAGAGTTTTAACTATTGAAAACTCACAACTTTGGAAAGATTGGAAAAAACTTCCGAACTTCGGTAAATCTCTCAAAACTTGCATAATATTTCTTAAGAGTTCAATGAGTTTCGTGAAAGTTTTTAAAACGTCGCGAAACATTCGAGGATTTCAAAAGACTATGGAGCTTGATCGTATTTTATGATCGAAGTCTACGCTATTGCTTATTGGAACATGAAGTGAAAGAAAATTTGATTTTTTGATTTTCCAAATCATCTAAATTTATTATCATCGTTTGAAAGAAACTCCTATTTCCAATTTTATCTTCTTATATGTTGAACAAAATATGAAGAGAAAAAGTTTTTATCCGACCGAAATTATTTTTGTGCCATCGAATGCAACTTGCATAACATCCAAGTCAAACGTATACAGTAAAAAGGAAAGATTCATTTCTTCTCTTCCAAATATAAACTGAATTTTAACTATATGATCTTGATCAATATAAAATTGAAATTCAATAAGCTTTCCATAGTAATTTTTTTCTGTTAATATTCTAGCATGAGCCATTTGTTTAAAATTATTAATCTCATTAAGAAATGATTTCCAACTGCCGTCTAACCAAAAAACATCCAGATCTTGTAATGATGAATCAAATCCTTCAATGAGAAGGCAATTGAGTACAGTACCACCTATAACAATTATTTTTATTGTAACAAAAAAAAAGGTAACTTTATTATCTTACCGGCTATTACAAACGACGAAAAATTTATCCAATGTTTAATATAAGAAAAAGAAAATTTATTATTCAAGTTATTTATAAAACTATCTAAATCTTGAACAACAATAGATCCTTCTGTTAAATGACCGTGCCGACATATTCAAAATAAATCCATCTCAATCGATGTTAAGCTTCTACTTGAATAAAAAAAAGAATAATTGAAAAATGACAGAACTGGCGTTTGAAAACACATGAAATGACATGTATAAGAAAGAAAACGACAATATGTTTGAAATGATTGAGACTGACAACAGCTCATAACACTCATCAATCGTTCAGATGTAAATCCATTATAAATAGAACGTGAATAATGGCGATCAGATGATAATTGAACTATATAATCAATTATTAAATCATAATAACCAGGCTTTGGTTTGGAGAAAACAACAATTGTTTTATTCAATCTTTCCCTATAATAAAAAAGAACATATCAATTTAGAACAAAATCTTATTTAAGCTTTTTTAATGTCAAGAGCTCAGAAATAAATCTTCGTTCTTTATTATTGACTGTTATATTTCCCAAACATAAATATCTTTAAAACGATTAATTTGTTTCGTATCGAATGTCAAAAAAGAAAACTTTTAACCGTACGGTTCAATCGGTAAAATAACTTCAGCGGACATTGTTACATTTTATGTACCGCTTATACTATCTTGAAAACTATTCAAGTTTATGTCATATAAGAAACATTTTTCTGAGCTTCTATCATGTTTTATTATCTGGTAGTACTTACATGCCTACAATTGACCAAAATTTTCGCTCTGATTTCATAATTTCTTGTGATACAGATTCAGCAAAACTAAATGCATCATAACCTGATAAAGAAGAACCAATAAGACATAAAATATCAAAAGATATTTTGTGCAGCCAATTTACAAATTGTAAAGGATAATTGTTATTGTCCATTATAAGTGCCATTATTTTATAAAAGAGATTTCAAACTTTATTCTTTCACAAATACAATTATATTTATTGCGATTAAGTGATGTAATGAATCTTCAGTTAATTAGATTCAAAGAAGTACGAAGGAAAAGAATAATAGATTTTTTTTATCAAACAGAAAAGAATAATATATTAACCAAAACTGTCAACAACTTCTATTAGATATTATAATATCAAAAGATATCTAGTAGAGGTTTTTTGCTTAGATGAAGATAGATCATAAATATTCGAGTGATATTTGTGATGAAAACAAGCAATTTTTTTGCGCGTAAATTTTAATTAAAGATCAGGACTTAAAACATCAGATCACTTCTTTTCAATTAAAACACAATTATCTGATTTTCTCGATCAAACTACAGATTCTTGAACAACAAATGGACGTCATTACTGGTTTTGTAACAGACGTTACTGGTGAAAAAAGAGGACCATCTAAACATTATCGTCGGTTTGATGTTTTAACATCAAAAAATGAACGAATTTCAGGTTGGATTTTTTCGACAATGGAAATCGATCAGACGTATGCTGGAGATGTTCTTTTTAAATCTGTCAACAAAAATTTAGCTGTCTGTTTACATGGTAAAATTTCAAGCGATGCAGGTAGAATTCTTTTTCTATATAATATTTATTAATCGCTTTCAAAATAAACGTATCAAAAAATGAAAAAATAATTGTTGTTTTATTTTCAAAGGAGGTGCTCGCACGATCGAAATATCGATTAATAACAAATTTGATAAATGTATAAATTGGTCACAAGTTCAAATTGTACGACCTGATAATGTGTTAGCAACGGCTCACATTGAAGATATACTTTTTATCAAACACACCATCTCGTTTAGAATGTGTTGTAATTGGTGAAAATCAAGGAGTAAATTTTTTATAGCACGATGAACAACGACTATACAAAGTGTATATCATTGGTGATGATAGTGGAACAAGTCCCTTATTAGTCTATGATGAATTGATTGATAGCTTAAAGATTAGCGAGAGTTTTATTTTTACACAAATTAAATCCAAAAAAATTCATGGGAAAATGATCTTAACTACCAGTACCAATAGCACGATTACTCAATCAACACATGCGAGTAAAAGCTATCAGATTAATTTCTAGATGATAAAGACCTTATTTGATAACACTGCTAATGTTGTAAAATACAAAACAGAACAATACATATCTTCAATCTGATTTTGTATTTACTATTCATTAATGTTCATGACAAAAAAAAATTAATCATAGTATGTTATAATGACTGTAAAGCGTGACAGGTTACAAAAACATTTAGCTAGTACACATTTCATGTTAGTTCATCGGAAACTTCCATCTCGCTTGTGTGTCTATCACCAACTACGAACGAACAGAAATACTACTAAGAATATCTACATGACTCGGCAGTAGAAAGCATGATTACCACTACATAGGAAGTAATCTATGAATCAGTAGAAATTTAAGTTCTATTTCTAAATCATCAGGTATATGAGGTATCAGGTTTTTATATTTAAAGAATCTATATATCTGTATGACCAATGAGCTTCTACGATATGATGAAAAAAACACTGTGCAATCGAGTCAATATTGAAAATCCTTCCTCTTTCCCAATCTAGTTCAGATACGGTTGTATCAAAAACTTGAGATCATACTAAAACAATGTACATGTTCTGTAATAGTAAAGAATAACTGTACTAGAATAATAATTACATAGAATAAATGTAATTTTTCGGGTAGATCTTTTAATCATAAGGAGCTGGTTTTATCAACAAAATAGTTCATGATTACAGTATTAATTTAAAAAAAATGACCTTTTTTTCTTACGTACATAACATATTTCTTATAAGTGTCTCTAAATATCTAGAAGGTCCAAAGAATCTATGAAGATAAGAGAACATATTTTCCACAGATCACTCTTCTTTTAACGTTTCTCAAAGAGGTTTTAGTTTAATATGTTAAGAAGAAATACTAAAAAAGCACAAAAAAAAAACATTATTGAATTCTGAACATCAAATATGTTATATTTAACTACTCTGTCCATTTGATCTAGAATGTCCGTTTTTTTCTGAATATTGGCATTTCTCCACATATTAAAGTCCTTTAAAGATCATTGCTATATTTTTAAACATTTTTGACATACTTTGATAGGTTATTCTTCCAAATTTGAATAACATGGATGAATCTATGTCATTTAAAACAAGTCGATATTGAACAAATAAGTTCATGGATCGAGGAAATAAGTCATTCTCAAAAAGAAATGACATGTAACATTTGTCAGCTAAAACTAACTACAGTTCCTGGTAAGGAACATTTGCTAAAATGTCAAAGCTGTTCCAAGTTTACACTTGCTAAAAATATCGGTAACCAAACAAACATTATGATTACCATTGGTAAGCTTCTTTTATTTTTGTAAGTACAATAAATTTTTTTTTAATTTATAAATAAAATGCAGATAATCAAAAAATAACATTCTACTCAACAAAAACTATATTGCAAACTTTTTTCAAAAAGAAAATCCTAATATATTGGCTACACCTGAAAATCTGTCCGAATATTATCTTGTACAAGGGCCATGGTTATTAACAATAAGTCATTCTTGACATTAATTAATCGATATCAAGAAAAATCAACAATAATAAAAACTAAAGCATCGTTTATTGTTTGTTCACTATGTATTTGTTTCCTTCTATTGGTTTCCTTATTCAACTAATGAACTTACAGTATGCCCAATGCAATCTCGAAAGAATAAAAGTTCATCAATATGATTTTTATCATCCATATGTTCAATTTAAATTATTTGATTTTAAAATAAAATTTTTCAAACTTATTATTTCAATAAAAAATATTCTACGCTCTTGTTTAAAACAAAGTTATTTCCTTTTTAAAAATATTGTTAACATCTGACACTAAACATAATAAGTAGAAATCGCCTAACAATGCAATTCTTCATCATTGTTCCTTCAATTTGTTTCGATATCAAGGAATCAGTTGAAACGAAACTGTTTCCCTAATACAGTAACCGACAGGAAAAAAGAAAGTCTAGTAAACTTAGCCCAATCTTTAGTATCAATTTCTAACATAAGAAGAAATCCAAACAATATATATTTGACTAGCGAGAACCCGTGCATACTGCACGGTTGTTCTTTTTCCTTTGAAGTTTCGCATCTGTACTTTAATCTTGACCCACAACAGGTAATCAAACACTGCCCATTAAGTGTATACATAGATCCTATAGACTTATCCCTTATATTCTTGTAGTCTTATATTGTTGTACTCTTGTAGGCTTACCCTCCTATAGACCTGTACCCTTACACCCTTGTAGCTTTACCCTTATAGTCTTACCGTCCTATAGCTATGAGTCTTCTAGCCTTGTACCTTACCCTCCTATAGTATTATACCCTTATGGGTACTCGCATAGGATAGCCCTTGGGGACTTGGGGGTACCCCATAGGATAGGCATCGGGGACCTATTGGTACCCCTATAGTATAGCCCTTGAGGAGTTGGGGTACACCCATAGTATCGGTCTTGAAGACCTATGTGTATCTCCATAGGATAGATCTTGAGGAGTTGGGGTACCTCCGATACCCCCATAGTATATCCCTTGAGGACCTATGGATACCCCCTATAGTATAGCCCTTTGTGGTCTCTGGATACTCCATAGTATAGCTTGTGAGGACCTATGGATACTCTATAGCATAGTCCTTGACAACTTACAGATAGCTCCATAGTATCGTCCATGAGGACCTATGAGTGTCTCTATAGTATAGCCTTTGAGGATCTATGGGTGCTTGCATAGGATAGGTCATCGAGGACCGATAGGTGCCTCCATATAGTCCCCTTGGCTCTACTCCCTACAGCCTTATTCGACCTTTGACCTTTAACCATTAACCTTTGAGCTTTAATCTTTAACTTTTGACCCTTGACCTTTCATTCCTATACAAATCCTTAGCGAATATTCCAGAAAGATCTGGAAAGTTCCAGAACATTCGAGAAACCCTAATTGTGTATATGTAATGCTGCAATGTTCTAGAAAATTCGAGAATCTTCCATCTTTGACCTTTGACATTTAACCTTCGACCTTCACCTTCCAATCTCTGTATAGAGTTCTTAGCGAAACTTCTACAATGTTCTTGAGACTATCCTAGAAACTTGTACCAATGTTCATATAATTTTTAAACGTTCTAG